GCAGCAGCTCACGCCTGTGATCCCAGCACTTCGGGAGGCTGAGGCGGGCGGGTCACCTGAGGTCAGGTGTTTGAGACCAGCCTGACCAACATGGTGAAACCCCATCTCTGCTAAAACCACGAAAATTAGCGGGGCGTGGTGGCAGGCACCTGTAATCCCAGCTACTCGGGAGGCTAAGGCAGGAGAATCGCTGGAACCTGGCGGGCAGAGAGGTTGCAGTGAGCTGAGATGACGCCACTGCCCTCCAGCCTGGGGGACGGAGCGAGACCCCGTCTCAAAAAACAAAGCAAGTTACGGAAGGACCGAAGCTGGGAGATCACTGTGGATGATGGGGGGCCCAGAGTCCTCACGGGGTCCTCACGAGAGGAGGGGGGAGGCTGAGAGTCAGGGAGAGACTGGAAGAGCCTGTGCTGCGGCTGTGACGGGGGAGGAAGGGGCCCCAGCCAAGGGACGAAAGGCGGGAGCTGGATTCTCCCCTGGAGCCCCCGGGAGGCCCAGCCCTGCTCCTTCCTCCACCTCAGCCCGTGCCATCTGCCCTGGCCTCCAGCCTCCCGGAGAGCTGAGATGATGCATCTGTGTGCTTGAAGGCCACTAAACTTGTGGCAGCGTCAGCGGGAAACTCGCAGAGGAGCCGGGTCCCAGCTCCCCGAACCACACACCCACAGCCTGGGTCCGCGAGACCGGGGCCCGCCAGCGCCTGCTGCCCCGGGGCCTCCCGCAGACCCTGCCCATCCATCCAGGGCGCTGGTTTCAGAGGGCACCTGAGGCAGCACCGAGAGTGGGCCTAGGGAGAGCCTGCCACGGACAACGGGGGAGGAAACCTGGAAGTGGGGGCAGGACCTGTCTCCCCTCAGGAGGACGCACTGTTAAAAAGAGCCGCAGGTGTGAGCGAGGATGTGGAGACCTGGGACCCTGTCCCCCCGCGGCGGGAACAGAACGCCGGGCGGTCGCTGTGGGTAACAGCATGCGGATCTTTAAAAGGTTAAACACTGAGTCACCACGGCCACCCCACCCCAGGGGCTCACCCGAGAGAAAGGGGCACAGACGTCCACAATGTGGAAACCCGTGTCCGCAGCAGCACGATTCACAGGAGCCCAATGAGGAGACAGCCACGTGTCTAGCCACGAGGGAGTGGATCAGCGCAGCGTGCCAGCCACGCACTGGAACACGACCCAGCCACGAACACGAACGGGGCTCGGACACCGGCGCCGCGTGGATGCACCTTGAGGACGTCACGCTCACTCAGCAAGAGACGCCAGACACAAAAGGCCACACAGGGCGTGATCCCATTTTTATGAATTGTCCAGGATAGGCCCATCCACAGAGGCAGGGAGGGGATTCAGGGTGCCGGCGCTGAGGGCAGGGGAGACGGGCGTGGTAGCTGGTGGGGCTGGGGTGTTCTTCAGCGGTACGGGAGTGTGCTCAAATATTAATCCATTACAGCGATGACTGCACAACTCTGAATGCACCAAAAGCACTGAATTGTACACTTTCAATGGTGAACTGTATGCTGCATGATTTATTTCTCAATAAAGCTGCAGTATAAAGTGTGTGCTGGGCGTGGAGGCGTCTGCTGTGAGCGCTGCAAAGGAAAACTAAACCCAGCTCCTCCCAGGCTCAAACTCAAGCACACACTGTCTTCA